ACAATTGTCTTGTTTTGGTCCTATGAAAGGTGGTTTCATAATAAGCTGTAAAGCTCTAACAGGTGCTCGCAAATACAGATTTCTGATAACTTTGGAGATTGTAACATCAGAATTGAGGATAAATGTTCAAAACTCTTAAAGAGCTAAAATGTTGATTAACATCAATCAGGACAGGAATTAACTGCATGAACCAAACTAATAGGAGACTGGAGTAATCTTTTTAACATTTTGCTTAAAATATCGCTAATCCCTGTTTTGCTTTTCAAAGTCAAATAAATTTTTCTTTTGAGCTATTAATAGCTTCTAACAATTTAGTAAACTCCCATAAACAAAATTTGGAGCACACTTGTTTCTCTCTACCTAATCTTGTCCAGAATTTGGAAACTATCTGTTAGTATTCTTAAGTTATGGCAATATAGTTATTTGCATAAGTGCAATAAGAATCTATTTTCTTTTGTAACAGGACAGAATTGGAAAAACTGGTTATTTTTACCAAGTTTTTAACTGGAATGGTGTGCTTTCCTTTAAGGAATCAAACTTAACTTATAAAGCAAAAAAGCCCTTGGAAAACCAGCCTCATATTCTGTGTATACAGTCCCTGTACAGGGTTTCTGATCTGTGGTAAGTAAAGAATGTCACTTTCTAGCAGGCCAGGGACCCCAAGTTATCTTGGGACCTCAAGAGGAGAGAAATTCACCAACTCATAGGTATTTAATGGTACAGACCCATGGCTAGGATTGGCTTTAAAAAGGTCTTACCTCAGATTCCTTCTATGGAACAAAGTTCTATCAAAGCCAATTTAAAAGGCCTATGTAACAAATAATTATTCTTGCTGCACTGTATGCAAATAGTTAAGCCAAGTATACTTAAGCAAACCAATCCTAACATGACTTGTCTTTTAATAAAAATGGGAAACTGGAAAGAGAAAATTTGTTTCAAAAACTATAGCACACCTGTTGTTAAATTCTAGTGTTGCCTAATGTTTTTCAATTTTTATTACTTCCTGCTGTTTCATTTAAATTCTACTTTTTCTTGCTAAAATTTTCCAAAATAAGCTGTGCTTTCTCAAAGCCCTATAAACTGAAAACTAGATGTTTCAGCAGGTGCTGTCTCTAAGCCCCACAACCATCACAGGAGAAAATCTCTTCACTGCTGCTGCTGACAACTAATAACTGAGGGTGCCCGGAATCCTCCGCCCCATGTCTAGTGAGTCCACAGAACCCAGGGTAGTTATTAAGACCGGATCTGCTGCAGGAATCAACTTCTAAATACATCACTCTCAAGTCAAAACCTGGAAAACTAAGGAAGCAAACCCTGATGGCCCAAAAAAAGGTCCTAAATATCAATATAAAGAAACAGGAAATCTTAAGCTGAGACTCATAAAGGATAAGTAACTAAGTGAGAACTACGCATTTTATGCAGTCTCACCCCTACCTCACCAAATACTTTTGTCATTTCTACCTCTCCTTTTAAACCAAATATTAAAACTTTTTAGTGGAAATTATTTACTACACCACCCTTTTGGGAACTGCTTTACTCACTCTACTATTTGCAGTAGGTCTATATACTGTAGCGCCCTCAGGGTGAAATATCAGACAGAAAATCTTAATTACTATAGCATTTTGCTTAATTATTATCCTCATAGCAGGAATAATGGTTGCTAACAGAAAATAACACATGGGCCTTTCCAAACATGTGCCTCTGCCTCTCATTAGGTAAGAAATATTTCTATATTAACCAATCCAGCCTAGTAAAAAACACTGCTAAAAACCTTAAAGAAAAGGCTAAAAAGCTAAGGTAGTACCAAAACAACCACACAAATTCTTGGTTTGAAAACAAAATCACAGCATAGGTCACCCCACTCCTAGGCCCTCTCCCAATAATATGTCTGGGCCTAAAGTTTTTACCTTGCCTGATTAATCTTTTTCAAAGATTTTTAACTCACAGGATCACGGCCATTTCACAAACAACTACCCAAAAACATCTACAGACGGCATTCTCTTACAGTCAACCTGAGACCAGAAAACTCTCCATCCCCTTGTCAGCAGGAAGTAGCCAGAAAGAACACGCCATCCTTCCTCCTTTTTATAACTAGAGGGTCTGGATTGACAGAGCAGGAGCATCGCCATCTGGGACAAGCCCCTCACTCTAAAAGTTCACCTTAATTAAAAAACTGCTTAAATAAATCCAAAGGGCATCAGCCTAATGGCTAAAGTCAGCATGACCATAAACCACAAATAACATCTCCAACCAGAAACATTCAAACTCCTCCCGACCAGAGACATGCTAGTCCCAAGATAAACCACCCTCTGGCTGGAAAGATGTCTGCCCCAAGATAAACCCCATTCTCCCAGAGATTCCAAGCCTGCCATAAACTTCTCCACACAAACATTCTAAGCTTCTGATAAGCCCCCTCACCCTGAAGCCAATGTGTACCCTTAGTCTGTAACAGAAAGTGCTCCTGACCACCATTGGCCAGGAGCGCCTCTCAGCTTTAACTAAAGACCTGTCTTTGCCTGCCAGCCACACTTCACGTTCCCTTCCTCTTTAACTCACACTGACCATCTTGGGCACATGCTGTCAGGACCTTCTGAGCTGTGTCACGGGTGCATCCTCAATCTTGGCAAAATAAACTCTGAATTGACTAAGACCCGTCTCACATTTTCTGGGTTCACACACTCATCTTTTTGGAGGACGCAGCTGAGCTGCCAGCCTCCCATAGTCGGTGCCAGGTTCTGGTGAACTAAGCCAGAGAGGAAGTACTTGTGGAGAGGGAACGGACCCTGCCTTTGCTTGGCTCTCGCCCACTCCGTCAGGGTGCATGAAGGCCTGTATCCTCAGGAGAGCATCCCTGCCTCTCATTTCTCTGCACCACTGGAGAGGCCCGGCTTCAATGATGAAGGCTGCAACCTAAGGCCTCATTCTACACATCTGGCAGCACACTGCATTTCCCAAAATCAGCGCTGCACAGTGAGGCAGCCAGCAGGACAGGAAGCGTTATTTCACATTTTAAAAATGAAGAAGGTGGTTCTGTGGCCAGCGATGATGTGGTGGGGCCACCGGCATCCACTTTGGCCTCTCTCACGAGTCTTCCTGCTCCCTCCTGCTTGGAGGCCTGTAGGACCTCCGGCTGCTTACACCCCACCCTCCAAAAGGCTGTGGCTGCTGCCAAATGTCCAGCAACCAAGGCAGGGTCACAGCGTGTGCACTCTGTGTGCCCAGAACAGAGCATTCCTGAGAGAAAAAAGTTCCATGGCCTGGTTCTGTATACTCTTAGGAGAATGGACATTGAATAAAAGTACATAAATAAGACTGGGTGTGGTGACTCACGCCTGTAATCCCAGCACTTTGGGAGGCTGAGGCAGGCAGACCACCTGAGGTCAGGAGATCGAGACCAGCCTGACCAACATGCAGAAACCCCGTCTCTACTAAAAACACAAAATTTAGCTGGGCATGGTAGCGCATGCCTGTAATCCCAGCTACTCAGGAGGCTGAGGCAGGAGAATCACCCGAACCTGGAAGACAGAGGTTGCAGTGGGCCAAGATCGCACCATTGCACTCCTGCCTGGGCAACAAGAGTGAAACTCTGTCTCAATTAAAAAAAAAAAAAAAATTAGCCAGGCGTGAAGATGCACACCTGTGGTCCCAGCTACTGGGAGGGCTGAAGCGGGAGGATTTCTTGAGCCTTCAGGGAGGAGGAGGTTGCAGTGAGCTGAGATTACACAACTGTGCTCCAGCCTGGGTGACAAAGTGAGATCCTGTCTCAAAATAAATAAATAAATAAAAATTACATGAATGGGCCGGGCGCGGTGGCTCAAGCCTGTAATCCCAGCACTTTGGGAGGCCGAGGCGGGTGGATCACGAGGTCAAGAGATCGAGACCATCCTGGTCAACATGGTGAAACCCCGTCTCTACTAAAACTACAAAAAAT